AAGAGGAGTTCAAGGAATTGACGATGTTTTATGCCCTCTTTGTAAAAAGGTTGATGAGTCTTCCTCGCATTTATTCTTTTCCTGTTCGGTTGTGTGGGCATTATGGAATAAGTTCTTACAATTGTGGAGTGTTAGTTCTGTTCTTCATGAAGATGCTAAAACTTTTTTATTAGGCTGGGAAGAGTTGAAGCCAAATTCTGTTATATGGTCATTCATTCCTGGGGTTGTTATTTGGACCGTTTGGAAAACCAGAAATTTAATTGTTTTTGAAGGGGGGAAGTTGGATCAGATTGAATTATTCTTTTTAGCAAGAGTCAGGCTGGCATCTTGGTTCCTAGCTAAGTATAAGGATATCTCTATTCCTAAAGACTCGTTGATTTCGGACCCTTCAATAGGGGATTCCCATTCGTCCTACAAGTTCCTGAAGTCTTCTAATGTTCCCTGGTGTCCTCCTCCTATAGGCTTCATTAAACTGAATGTGGATGTTGCCACTAGTAGTGATTGGAAGAAAAGTGGGTTGGGAGGCATTTTAAGGGATCATCTTGGTGCAATATTAGGATCTTTTCAGGAGTCAGAAGGTCCGGGTCCTCCAACTTTGAAGGAACTTAAAGCTATTCAAAGGGGACTTGTTTTCGTCTCATCTATCCAAGGGAGGGAAAAATTCCGTTTGATTGTTGAGAGTGACAGCAGGGTAGCTGTGGACTGGATTATTAAAACTGATTCTTGTCCAGCTGTGTATGCTTATATTGTTAAAGATATAGTCGTTAAACTTAGGTTTTGTGGGGGATTTGTTAGATGGGTTACAAGAACAACTAACATGGAGGCTGATGCCTTAGCAAAAGTTGGTATAGGCTGAATTTTATGTATTTTGTTCTCGAGTGATTATTTGTAAGGGTTAGGGTTTTCTCCCTATAGGCTGTAATTCCTACTTTATTCAATAAAGTTATAAGGCACTCTTTTCCATCTTCAGATGATTAAGGAGTTTACACATTAACTCCATTAATCAAGAAGGTGGTTTTTAATGAGGCCTTCAAATCTTATCAAAAAAAAAAAGAAATAGATAGCCACAATCAACGTTTCCAGTCTCAATCACGCAAGGTAACAGATGAGAAGGTAAAGCAGATGAGAGATCAGGTTATTATAGCAAAAGTGTACCTTAATTTTGCACAGCCTGGTCATAATACCCACTTGCTGAAGGAGTTGCGAACACGAATCAAAGAGGTTGAACGAACAGTCGGTGAAGCCAGCACGGATTCAGAACTGCCGAGGTAAAAATGGGGAAAAAATAATAATACTTTTATGAATGCATTTTGTATTCAATAATAAACCTGAATTGTTGAATACTATTAAGTGAATTAGCTTAAATTTAGGGTTGAATTGCGTCGATTGAACTTTATATCTGAAGAATGTTTTAATTTCAGTGCTTCACAGAAAATGAGATCTATGGAGGTTTTGTTGGTTAAATCCCTGACTGCTCTGCGATGGCCAGAAAAATTCATGCCATGGCTTATAAAGCTGAAGAACAGATTCGGGCTCAGAAGAGGCATATCTTGTTCAACTTGCTGCAAGGACTACCCCTAAAGGCCTTCACTGCCTCTCCATGCAGCTGACAGCTGAATATTTTTCCCTTCAACCCGAGGAAAGGCGGTTCCCTAACCAAAAAAAATTGAATGATCCAGACCTCTATCTCTATGCAGTATTTTCTGACAATGTCCTCGCTTGTGCAGTGGTTATTAACTCCACAATTTCATCTGCAAAGGTAAGATGCTTTTGCCAACTTTCATTATTTGCTCTGTTGATTTTCAATAAATTTCAATATTTTATTTTCTTTTGTTAAACATAGTTGCTTATAGAAAGTGTTTGTCATTCAAAACAGTCGCATAACAGAATTGTGAGCGATAAATCACGCTAGGAAGTTTTGTGTGCTGTGGTTTTACATTTCTGGACAATAAATGATACACTTGGAATTTATAATGAATAGTAATGGATTGAACTTTTCTAAAGTTGCCATGGAGTTCTTTATCCTTTCCTTTATACAATAAGCTTATCCTAACTTGCCATTAGATCAATTTCCCCTCGAAAAAGACAATACACTTCTGTCATTACTCTTCTTACTTTGATGAATTAGCTACAGTTAACTCAGGATTGGTCCCATGATTTACCTGTTAATGGATGAAATATACCCTGGTTAACTAAGACCTGGTTATGCAGGAGCTGGAGAAAATTGTTTTTCATGTGGTAACCGATTACCTAAACCTCCCAGCAATTTCGATGTGGTTTTTATTAAATCCTCCTGGAAAAGCTACAATCCATATTCAGAGTGTAGAAAGTTTTGATTGGTTGTCTACCAAGTATAATTCAACATTGAAGGAACAAAAGTCCTATGATCCAAGATTTACTTCAGCCCTCAACCATCTGCGGTTCTATCTGCCAGACATCTTTCCAGCACTGAATAAGATTGTTCTTTTCGATCACGATGTGGTAGTGCAAAGAGATTTAACTGAAATTTGGAGTGTTGACATGAAGGGCAAAGTAAACGCAGCTGTGGAGACTTGTCTGGAAAGTGAAGCTTCATTTCGTACTATGCATATGTTATTGAACTTCTCAAACCCATTTTTGGCGAAGAGGTTTAATGCTAATGCTTGCACATGGGCATTTGGTATGAATTTGTTTGATCTCCAAGAATGGAGAAGAAAAAAGTTAACCATGCTCTACAGAAGTTACTTGCAACTGGTATGGGACTACTTTCCTTCGTTCGTTTTTTTCTTTTGCTTTGTGCTTATAAAATATGCTTGTGGATTTTATCTTGGTTCTATTCTAATCTGAAGTTCCAAATTGATTCATTGAAAAGATAGTTACTGTTATCTGGTGCTTTAGCTTATCTTTGTCAATTGGAATTGTTATCAGCTTGAGTAATAGAGATTTTACCTAAAGTTTATCTGTTTAAATTTCAAAACAAATCTTCTTTCTTACCCCATTTCCTCTGTTCTGCCCAGAAAGTTCTATATTTGTCTAAACTACTAGTTATGTCTTACTGTGGATGGTTAACAGTAACAAACAAAAATCTGTGGTTCCGAATTTATCCTGCCCTAAGAATCAGTATCATCTAGTTTATATAGTCATCTTAGTTTCTTTGAAGTATTTTGCAAGCTGTAGTATATCTGCTCCTAACTTGATTACTATGTATCTATATTCAATTCAGTGTTCCAGAAATAAACTTTCATGGATGTGAAACTTGTGCCCTGTGCATCACGAGTTTGACAACTAATGTGTCCATTTGGCATAATTTTGAATTGACATCATTGCTTTTTTTTTTGTTCTCCGATGCCATATTGTTCTATTCTGACAAATCTATAAGAATACTAATTCAAAAGTGGTTGTCAAGATTTATTGCGAATTATTCACGTCCAAATTACAACGTTTTTCTGGTAGGTATCCAACATGGTGCATGCTGTATGATTCATTGTTTCTCATGCTTGTTTGAGTGGTGTTTTTGTGACAGGGACTTAAGAGGCCATTGTGGAAGGCGGGAAGCTTGCCCTTAGGTTGGATTACCTTCTACAATGAGACTGTGGCTTTAGAAAGGAGATGGCATGCACTAGGGCTCGGCTATAACTCTGGCCTTTGGAGGGGTGATATCGAGCAGGCGGCAGTTATACACTATGATGGAGTCATGAAACCCTGGTTGGAAATAGGAATTACTAAATATAAAGGCTATTGGAGCAAACATTTGCAGTACAACCTCCCTTACTTACAGAAGTGCAATATCCATGAATAATTGAAGATTTCGCAGCATGCAAGTGGAATTATTTGATTCATAGCACATTACCAGTTACATCACTCAGAAACCATTCCTATTGATCCGATTTTTTAACGATCTTTCATGAAAATTTTTAACTCATTTTTCTCCCCAAAATAGTTCAGGCGTCAGTAACATTTCAGGGGTTGAGTAAATTTGTGGCAATGGCCAAAGCTAATAAGTTTCTGTAGGATGCTGCATTGTAGGTATACGTCTGTACATAATTGATATATCACAATTCCACTAGGTTCCAAAATACTTGAAACGAAAGAGGAAACAAGTAGACTTTTTATTATCATGAAGATTTTTTTCACTTTCAGGCTACTGTTTTCTTCGCTAATTTCATTACAGTTACGGCACTGATGAAGGTTCTTAACAGCTTGGACAACGAGCAGGCCCTTCTTCACAATGAGAATTACAAAGCTCTTGAAAATGGGAAATTAAGAGTTAATTGCATCATATGTTTTCAATTATAACCCTTATTTTAAATTGGTTTTTAAACTTTTGAATTTTTCAATTTCATCCACAAACTATGACTCTCATTCTAAATTAGCCTTGAAACTTTTGAACATTTTAATTTCATCCCTAAATTATGACACTTTCTAAATTAGTCCTAAACTTTTGAATATTTTAATTTCATCCCCAAATTCATTTAAATATGTAATTAATTTCAATCATAGTTTAACCTAAACTTTGTTTTTTCAAATATATAATAGTATAACTTGGTCTAAAGATTTTATTAATAAGGGATGTAATTAGAATATACATATAGTTGGGATGAAATTGGAATGTTTAAAAAGTTTGGGGACTAATTTAGAATGAATGCCATAGTTTTGGGATGAAATTGAGATGTTTAAAATTTTGAGGATTAATTTAAAATGGTAGTCGTAATTTAGGGATAAAATTAAAATATTTAAAAGTTTAGGTATTAATTTAAAATTGGCTCGAAAATTAATTTAAATTGGTTGTAGGTTAAGGTCCGGTCCCTTTAACTTTGACGTGTTATGATACGACCAGCACAGAACGCTCCTGGATCAATCTTTGTTATATAGAAGGGATGACAGGCACGTGGGTGAAATTGGTTGGGTCTATTTAGATATGGGTTATCAAAACGAAGGGATATTCTATCTATATCCTGTCTGGTGTGAATCTTGACCAATTAATCTGTAAATTTTGTTCTATATGAAATAAATTTGCACCCTTACGATACAGCTGCCATTGTTGTAGCAAAATCTCCCAACTGAAGCAAATAATTCATGGCAACCATGTCGGCTACTACCACCACCCCTACAGCCCTTTTACACAAGCCATTGCTGCCGAGGGTTCCATCCCCAGTTGCCATTGGTAAGCATTTTCTGGTTCTTAAATTGAAAGGGCCGGTCATTTCCATTTTCACCTCAAACTGTAAATTTTACATCCAGGGTTGCCGAAAATGGAAAAGAGGGGGAACGTGAAGGTGATGTGTAGCATGGAGAAGAAGGGTACTTCATTCTCAGAGGAGAATGGTTCAACTATGGGCAAGAGTGCATCTTTGGTGGCAGCAGCCTGTGCAGCGACCGTGTCAAACCCAGCCATGGCTTTAGTGGACGACAGAATGTCAACTGAAGGAACCGGACTTCCCTTTGGACTGAGCAACAACGTTCTGGGGTGGATCCTGTTCGGTGTATTCGGCTTGATTTGGGCACTCTACTTTGTCTACACATCCTCCCTTGAAGAGGATGAGGAATCTGGATTGTCGCTCTAAATGCCAAACCTTTTTTCTTTTCCTTTGATTGTTGTTCACTGCCTCGGATGAATGTAGGAAATGAAAATCAAAGGAATTTGGCTTTCCTATGTTGTAGTAAAACTACTATTTTTTCTGCATGGATTAAGTGTGCTCTGCTATCTTTTTTATTTTTGTTTGTCTCCATTGTTCCCCCGTTGATGCTTGTTTGGGCTTACATGAACATGTACAACAGGGAATTTGCAGTTATTCAAAGTACAAATAGACATACTGATAATCAAAAGTTAATAGAAGGTTGGAATGATTTTCGAAATGATTCGCAAAATGAAATCTAAATCAGAATAAATTTAAATTATATATATAATCGTTATATACGATGAAACTCGAATCCTAGTATTAAAACGCTCAAACTCTTGAATAACGACATAGTACTGCACGAAAATATATACATGGATTTCACAGTTGTAATGTTTTTTATGTTGAATATAATGAATGAATTTCTTTGAATCTCTCTTATTCTTCTTCTAAAACCTCTTCTCTTCTACTCAAATCATAGCAGATTATTCATGAGGCAAGAACTCGAAGTACGCCATATTCCTACATACAGGGATTCGTCGTCTGGACTAAGCGATACACCCGAGATTTTGTCGAAGAAGTCAATCTCTTGTCGTCGAAATTCGAAGTATACACGTGGACGAAATCTGTTGGTTATGCAACTACCATGAACTGGCTATCGGATGAAAACCGGATTGATCTTATCGTACCCAAGTTTCCTTTGAGGGTGGCGACTGGTAATGCGAGGTTTCTTATGTCCCATACCCGGCAGGACTTGTCTTGGTTTCCGGTGACGAATATGCATCCATCTGGGTGCCATGTTGATGCAAAGGAGTAATCTCGATGACCTACCACCGTGGCTACGATTTGAGACAACTGAAAATACGATATTCATCGATTAAAGCTTGAAACAAGCGAATGAGCAAACCTTTTCGTTTCTTATCGAAGTCCGAAATGGAATAATGACTGTTTACTAATATTTGAAAATTTACAGATGAAAAGTGATGGTTTACCCTCCAAGTGATCTCTTACAACAGTAATCAGATCATCCTCAGAAGAATAAGATGCATTTGAAGCTTGAATCGAACTAAACAAACAAACAAGTTGCCCTTTGTTAATCATTTAAGTGGGAAAAACCCACACATACTTAATTGAGGAGGAGGAGGAGGATTTTTTCTATTTTTAAATCCTCAACTCAAACTTATGTTAAAGGATCAAAATAAGACACGTGATTTTTTTTTTAATTTTTAAATTGCCAACTCAAACTTCTGGTAAAGGATTAAAATCGAACGAACTAAAATTATAGAGACCAAAATCCACACATACTTGATTTAATTGGTGGTGGTGGTGGAAGAAAAAGAAAAGAATACATTTGGGACACGTGTTTTTTTTGTAATTGTCAACTTAAACTACTGTTAATAGATTAACAGGTGTTAATGGCCAAGAAATCAAAAACGTAATGGATCAAAATCATTTTTTTTTGAACTAGTGGTCAAAATCGATAAAATCAAAAATAGAAGGAACTATTCATAATTTTATCCATTTTTATTTTGATAATATTTCCCTTTCATAATTGACATCCACTTTCCCATTGGTTACATTTCATCACTTGGGCCCTATCTGAAACTAGGGCTCCTTTGTGGCCTAGCGAAAGCCCAACTATCAGTTCGTGCAAAAACTGAAAACCCGGGCATGTCTTGTACTTCTTTCACATGCTCTCGTTTCTTGAACGCTTTCCAAGCTTGCTTCACGGTCACCTTCTCTTCCCGTAGGCGGGCGGTATGTTTGGTTTCGTTGTATTTCCTTCTCTTTTTTCTTAAAAAAAATATAGTTTCTGCACACTCAAGTCTACTGTCTGCACTTTACTGCCTATCACATATTCGGGATAATACCTCAAGCTAGTGTTCATTTACTGAAGGTTGTTTTGTTTTTCGTTTGATACTCAGGTTCTTGAAAATTTGAAAACTGTGAAGAAAGCCGAAGAAAATGTTCTATCTAAGCTTAATGGAACACACTTTGCGGTTACCACCCCATATTCTTCACCTTCCTCTTGATGAGGCTCTTAAGGCAGAGTTGGAAGCCCTTTTCCTTGATAAGGTTTGTTTTACTGTATCTCCCAACATATACATTTTTTCAATGGGGTTTTCTTTGGTTTTACCCATGCTTGACAATGATTGATGAATGTTCGTGAATTATATTATAGGTTATTGCAAAGTTAGGACTCTGCATTTCAGTATATGATATCAGGTCAATTAAAGGTGGCTTTGTCTTTCCCGGGGATGGTGCTTCCACCTATACGGTAATGCTTCTCTTTTTCTTGGGTATTAAGTTGCTGTATGCAAGAAATATTGGTTTATATTATTGTTTCTCTGAAAATTGACATTTTTTTTGTTTTTCCTTTTTTGCTGTTGTGATAGGTTGAGTTCAGATTGATCGTGTTTCGTCCATTTATCGGAGAAGTTATTGTTGCAAAACTTAAAGAATCTGATGCTAATGGATTGCGCCGTAAGTCTGGAAGAATATTACTTTTCTAATTATTTGGTGCAGACGATCGAAGTTCATGATTTCATTTTTCTTCTTCTTTGAGTAACTAGTGTCCTCTATCATATTTATGTTTTTAGAAGATTCATCTTTGTTTCACATCAATGAATTTAGAAGGTTATGGCTTGTGTTTAAGACAATGCTGGGTTAAGATTGTCTCATATGGATCATAAGCAGAGGGCAGAAGGAGACTTAGATTCTTTCACAGTTTAACTAATTATTTGGCTGTTAATTGCTGGTTTTCCATATGCCTCGTAGCATATGGATTCCCCTCATTTATTTGATATAACCTTTAGCTTTGTGCTATAGAGTAATTTTGTAGTCCATTACATAATTTTTGTCATTGTGATCAAAGCTAAACTAACCAGGCATATAGTCGGTCGGTTCCTCAGGCATAGTATCATCCACCCTTTTCTTACTGTACACGAATTGTGAATATCTCCACGGTTCTGTAATTTGCAGTGTCACTTGGATTTTTTGATGACATTTACATACCTGTTGACCAATTGCCAAATCCATCTCGCTTTGAAGCTGTCCCTAATACTAGGTAAGAACTAGTTGATTGTTTATTCTGCTCTGATATAAACCAAAGGTAGAACCTTAGAACCTACAACTTCCTTAAGTTTCCTTGCTTAATTTATTATTCTCTTCATGCTGGTATGTACAGCTAATGTGTTCATTATTATTTTGAGGATTGCAGAAATCAAGGCAGATGGATATGGGACTTTGGAGAAGGAGAAGAACAGTCAGATGAACCGCGATTTGTTATTGATGGGGCAGATCCGGTATGTCTTCTGATATTGTTTCCAAAATTTTCATTAACTTCTGATATTTTTACCTTTAGCGAGTTGATATCTTCTTAATCGCAGATTAAATTTCGAGTTCAGAGTGTCATTTATCATTCAATTCCACTTGAACAGCCAGAAAATTCGAAACCATTTGCCCCGATGGTGATCACTGTAAGTTCAGCTTTCACAATTATTGTTTCATCATTGCCAGTAGCGTTAGGTCTCTCTCCCCAAAGATTCTCTTTGGCTAAAATGTTGATTGTTTCATCATAAACCACAGTCAATGTATCTTCCACTATGAAAATCAACTTCGCGCATTAACACAAGATGGGAAGATAATCTTTGTCATGTAATAAGGACCATTTCTTCTCCTCCTCTAAATCATGGTTACAATGCCAATTGTAATGATACATGCGTGAAAGTACCACCTCTTTAATGGCAGAAAGTATCTTATTTTCAGTTCTCTGTTGACCTCGAAATTGTCTCAGATTCCGTTCCTCCTATATCATGTAGATATAAGCACTCCAAGCTAAATTCCATATGATAGTGATAAGAGCTTTTCCCTTAAGCTTAGAATAAACCCAGTTTAGTTCCTGCTGCCGAGTCAAAACTTCCCTGTTAATTTTACGGTGAACTTCCTATTTTCTGCACTTTTTGTAGAAGTGTCGAATACTAATAATTAGGTATCCATACGTCCATGACCAACTTGTCAAAAATGTTCCTGTATTCAATTTCAGTGTTGATACCTAATTATTGGTATCGATACCTAAGTGTCAGCCTAAGAACATATCTCCAAATGGATTTTGAATAAATGCATTATAAATAAAGATGATCCCTAGTGTCCAATTCGCTCCCACATAACTTGCATTGTCCGTCATTTATAAGATCGATCATCAACCGCCTATCCTTAGTATGAAACCACCCCAAAATAGCCATCCAAGTGATAATTGTGTGGCACGAACCAAGCGATCTCAATGGTCAACTTGTTATCCCTTGAGGTCCTGGGTTAGAGCATTGCGTATGCAGGGGTATGAGCCCTCGTTGTCAAAGGGTTGAGAGTCATTGAATAGATATTACTTTGTATTCACCCTAGATTTATCAAAAAAAGAAAATGATAATTGTGTGCTTCGGTACATGCAAAGGGAACCAAATAAACTTATGCCAACTGCAATCAACTCTTTTTCTCCCTTATCTCATTCCAGAGTCCACTGACAGGAACCTTGTTAGGGTTCATAAGCAAAATCTGAAACTGAGCCTGCCTGCTTCTCTCATCTTAAACAGCTTTTTAAGGCTCCGGCTCATACAATTCTTGCAAACCAGCTGCCAAAAATCAGCACCCTTGATGACATGCATGTATCCATGCAACCCACGAAGACCCTTCTCCAGCAAGAATATTTATTAGAAGAAGAATGCAAGCTGAAATATTTTATTCCAGCTAAGCAACTCCTAAAGCCCCAAACTACCTTAACTTTAAAGCACAAATCTGATTCCAGGAAACTTTAGCACCATAAGCAGCAGAAACTTTCCCCTTCCAAAAGAATCCAACACATAATTGAATCACCTTCCTAATTACTGCCTTAGGAAGAATCAATTGTCTACACCAAAAGTTAGATGTATTAAAAAGAACAGATTAGATCAACTGTAATCTGCTAGCATTACTAAGCTGCCCATTTGACCAATTATTCAGCTTGCCCGTAATCTTTGCAATGAGATGTTGACAGTCTTTCTCAGTAAGCTTTCGAGTGACCAATGGTACTCCAACTGGGAGCTTTCCAAGGTTAAACCAAGTAGCACTCTGAATACCCTCCAAATCCATCTTTGGAATGCCAGAAGCAAACAATTCACCCTACTTGCATTCATCTTCAAACCAGACAGCAAATGGAAGTGAGAGAAGTCACCTGTGTAACTTGAGAAGATTTCTCTGCAACAGTAGCTTTTGGTCATCACACCTGTGTAACTTTTGTTTCGCCATAGTAGCAAATGTTTAGTTCTATGATTGATATTTTATTTTCTTTCTATTTCAGGGAACACTAAACCATGATGGTTTGGGGCCGGTTTCATGGTGGGAGGAAGCAGAAATGATCGAGGAAGAATCTTAGGTTTACAGACTCATCAGCTTAGAGGCTTCATTGGTCAATAGATGTTTATAGTTACTTAACAAAACAAGGCACTTCAAATGATATTTTGTGAGAGCTTGCTTTGGCCACCTGCAGTGGGTGTATGCCACTCTTCTTCCTTATGGCCAGAGTTCATAAGCTCCATGTGCTTGGAGATTTAATCCACTCAACCATTAACTTTGATTTTAGAAGGAGATTCCAAATTGCTAAATAGAAAGCTTCAAGTCTATCTATCACAATTTTATACTCGTATTAAAGATTATTTTTAAACATAAATACTTTATTCATAGAAAAGGTGGATTATATAGTTTATTTGAGCATCAATAATATCGAATAATATAAAGACAACATTGTAGGAAGAAAAGTAACGAACAACCATCGAGGCAAACTCTGTTGGTATCAGATGTTAAGTAGCACTTGATATTTATTTTATGATAAAATAACCTATGTAATTTCTCGGCTTTTTAAGGTACTTTTCACAGCCTCAATAATAATAATAACGGTAATAAGTCATTAAATGTGTATTAACTGTTTACCGTCAGCTAAATGAGTTTTTACCATTTACAGCAAGTAGTCAGTCGAACACTTGAAATATCATTAATATTTTTATACAATTCATATAACATTATCGTTAATTTTTTAACTATCATTGATTAAAATAAAAGCATATAAAGTTAAAAAATGATTAGTGATTAGAATTTATCCATGACATTAGCAGTTAAAAGAAATATTGTTTTCTCTAAAGATTTTGAATTCGAGTAGTTATATATACAGAGTGTGTGTACACTATCAATGATTAAAAAAGAATATAAATCGATACTATATTATAATCACTCTAGACTTAAAAGAAAATGATAATAGTTTGGTGGCCATTAGGTTAGTTCACCTTAATTTAATTACCATATCAAGGGAGGGTAAAAAAGTAAATAAACGTCATAAAACCATGCAAGACGCTCCTCGTCTATAGACAATAGTATATTTTTAATCTTATTTTAATTTCCATTAAAGGTTTGGAAAACAGGCGCCAAAAGTTGCGATTTCTCCCGCCACGCCCCGCCCGCCCGTTCCCGACTAAACTCTCCCTCTCTTTATTTTCAATTTCTCTTTCGTTTCTGCTCTCCATACAAAATCCCTTTCCTCTCATCTCAATCATTTTTCTCTCCCTGTTTCCTTCCTTGTTTCCGGTTGCCATACAGCAATGCTCCACCTACAGCCCCACATTTCTTCTTCAGCCTCCACCTACTCTTCCGCCGCGGTTTTTGACTTCAAACCGGCCAAACGACGCGGCAGTTACAATTGTGGCAGATGTGGGCTTCCCAAGAAAGGCCATGTTTGCCAAGTCAATAGTGGCGCCACCCCTACTTCAACTACCACTCCAACCTCGGGTCCAGCCGCCGCCGCCGCTATTGAAAATTCTTCCTCCGTATCCCGTCCTCCTCAGCTCCCTCCCCTTCGTCATTCCTCGCATCTCCGACGTGCGCTTTCCTTTGACGACATCGACATCCGCTGTGACTCGCAGGAACGCGATTTGGACGGCTATAATTATTCTCATCCTGGTACGGATCTTGACGTGGATGATGAGATAGTCTCCGGTGGGTTGCCTTTTGGATGTTTGTGGGAGGTCTTAAGGAGATTGCCTCCGGCGGGGCTGTTGGCGGCTGCAGGAGTATGTAAAGGTTGGAGGGAAACGACGAAGAGAATGTGGAGGGCGGCGGAGGAGCTGAGACTTATGGTCCAACCTAAGGGTCAGCTCAGATTCATGGGATCAGTTTTAAAGAAATGCCCCAGCCTTGTTAGACTTTCTCTTAAGATGGAAAGGTTCGGGTCTAAGCCAACCTTTGACAGATCTAGGTCTCTACTGGTTGGATCGGTCGATATCAATGAAGATCAAAATAAATTCATAAAATGAAAATTAATCTGGTTACAATACAACAATATATAAGCAGTAAAATGAAGTGGAAACTGATCTATAATCAGTGACGCCACGAGAATTGCCTACCAGACTACCAGTGTTTGATCTAAGCAATGTTCTAATTGTGCTATTTTTGTAGAACTTTGATTAAAAAACACCAATGCTTAAGAGCTAAACCCAATGCAATAAGTAACAAAGGTTGGAACTTAGATAAAGAATCAGCAAATGGGTTTTCTGTTTGCATCATTTTGGGAGGTTTGCAAGGTGTGGGCAAGGTGTGGGGTGAATGCTCTGCTTTTGGACTTTTGTTTACCCTTTCTTTTACTTCATATTTTTACTCGTTTGGGTTTTGCAGTGATGTGGATGCAACGATGCTGGCCTGCATTGCGTTTTCTTGCCCTAATTTGGAGTCTTTGGAGATTTCTACTTCAAATACGGCTGTCAATCGAATCACGGGGTATAATTTCTCTTCTCGGCTCTCTTTTTTCTTGTAATTTTATCATTACATTTTTTTTATTGAGAAAGGTATTACATTTTCAATGTAAATGTCACGATTCGAATCCACACAAGGTGATACAACATGAGCACCCTTAGCCACAAGGTCAATTAATGAATCTCTAAAATATTTATTGCTTGATTGTCGGTGCTTGGAAATGATCTAGCTAATTGGTTGGAATTTATCAGTATTTTGACCAGTAACATAATTGAAAGGCTTGAGTGCTGAAAGCTTAAAGTTATGGTGAAATGCATAGATATGTTTAGTTGAGTGATCTTGGTTAACATTTTTTCTTACCTTCAATTTGAGGTACTATGAGAAAGATGAAAACGTTATGAACTGTATACCCTGTTATGGATTTATTGGTCCGACTCATGTTGATAAATATTTTGTTTTTATTGGTCTAGAACTCTTTGTTGTCATGAATAACGTGTTCTATGCTTAAACTCATGTTTATGATTGAATCCAATTCAATAATTTTCTCTATGTTTAATGGTTAACGCTTTTGTTATATTCTGTTTTATTTCCTGATTTTGTGTTGTAAGAATGTAAGTTTCCACATGCTAAATAAATGGCAGATATTGTGATACTGATTAACTTTAATTAATGTTTTATGTACAGAGATGAATTGGGTCGTTTTGTTGCTGATAAATGCTGTCTAACTAGCCTTAAGATGGAAGGATGTTCTAATTTAGGGGGCTTTGTCCTTTCTTCATCAAGTCTATCTACTCTCTGGCTTTCTGATCTTTTATCCCTTTCTAAGATGGTAACATTTTCATCAGGTCCTTTTTTTTTATTTTCAAGTTTAAACTTTTTTGGGGCATGTGAGTCAATTTGTGTTCATATGTGCATTCTATTGTAGGATTTTAACTGTCCCAATTTGAAAGAGATATCCTTAGAGTTTTCTCGCCAAGAAAATGACACTACCAACCTTACAACCATGGTTGATGGTATGGGTAGAACTTGTCCAAAATTGCAAAACATACACATTGCATCAGTTCGGCTTTCACATGCTGTTGTGCTTTCTCTTACAGCTGCTAATTTGAGGTTTGTTGAACCTTTACGAATCTACAGGCATTGCTTTGCTTTATCAGGATCACAGTGATTAAATGGGCTTTTTGTTCAGTTTCTAGCAATGCCTTGTTTTGTTTCATGGATATTTGCATTTAGAGGGTGAATAATCACTAATTTATTAACTATTTTCTTTTTTCAGGGGCTTGCGAATGCTTTCACTTGTTCTTGGCTCAGAAATCACTGATGCATCTGTTGCTGCTATTGCTTCAAGCTATTCAAGATTAGAACTGCTTGATCTCAGTGGGTATGTTTTTTCTCCAGCTTGCATTAGTTTTTCTGTTGATCTGTGCTGGTTCTAAGGGATTAGTTTTTTCTTCAGTTAATGTTCAGCAACATATTCCTGATGTTTGCTACCTCATTTCAGGTCTAGCATCAGTGATAGTGGCATTGGAATGATCTGCAACGTTTTCCCGAACACATTGTCAAGACTCCTCCTTGCTCTTTGTCCCAACATAACTTCAAGTAATCCTCATGTCTTCGACTCACACCTATGTCTCCGGCACAGCTATACATATCCTGTAAATGCGCTATTCTACCCTAAAGCTATTCATTAACATGTTACTCTGCATTTCTCAGGTGGAATTCAGTTTGCCACGGCTCAACTGCCTCGTCTTGAACTTATGGATTGCGGGATGACCATATGTGATCCTGATTCCCATAATTCACCTAGTGATGGAGATGGTGACAATCAACTTCCAAATGCATTGAACAATAAACTGCACCTTATGTACCAAAAGCTTATTATCAAACACAACCGACTTAAAAAACTCAGCTTGTGGGGTTGTTCTGGCTTAGATGTAAGTTCTTTTAGTCCTTAATCTTGAGCATATTGCTAGTTTCTTCTTAATATCCTATGTGGTTCTTATTTGTGAATCCCAATGCAGGCTTTATGTTTGAGTTGTCCCGAACTCAACGACCTTAATCTCAACTCTTGTGAAAACTTGCATCCAGGTATGTTCAGTTTTAATCTATCTGCTAGTTTGGAGTATGTTCAGCTCTTCTTATGATTTAACGACTATCGAATAAACTGTTTGCTTTCATAGAAAGATTGTTCCTTCAATGCCCAAGTTTACAGAATGTGCATGTGGCAGGATGTCCGAAGTCGTTAATAGGAGCCATCAAAGACCAGGTAGAAAACAATAGTTTCATCAAGCATCATTTTCCACATGTTAAATCAAATCTTCAAACTGCAAAGATCATCTGATTTGTTTTCGCCATTATTTATAATTCTTTTGCTGTTGTTCATAACTGCAGGTGAGTGATAACATGGCACCTCTGGGAAACCAATTTCAATGTAAGCGATTGGCCGATGGCTCCAAGAAGGTTCGTGCACCAGATTGTTTGAGTCCACTGGTAAATGTTTTTAACAATGATGATTGCCATGCTGAAAAGATCACTGAAAATGTTGAATAGGTAATCATGTCAAGTTTTTGTTTACTTTTGCAGACAAGTGATAATAAAAAACGGAGGGTAATGGAATGGCAATGTAACGTGCTTGTGGACTAAAATCCCCCATTTTTGTAACCTCTACTTCGCACAAATTGTCATATTTCTCCAAGGGTTTGTCCTGAACAGTAATTTACCACTTCTCTAATAAATATATGTCCTTTATGGAGGACTTTGTGTTTCTTTTGATCCAAAAACAAAAATCAAATGTGATTAAGAATTTGTTAGAAATTATCAATGGTCTCCAGTCCACAATCAAATTGTTATTCTGCTTTCCTTTTTCTTAATGGAGGATAGTAAAGATTAAGGGTCAAATTTGACTATTTCTTAAAGGTCTAGAGTCAAATTTATGAAAGAGAGAGAGGTGTTGTTTTTAAACTAATGTGATGAAATTTATTCTTTTTTTAAAAAACAAAATTTGATTGGAATATAAAAATATATTTTTTATCAAATTATAAATTGTAACCGACTTTTATTTTAAAAAAAAAGAATTATATAAAATTTATCATTGTTGCATCTTGTTTTCTTCTCCCCTTTAGTGAATCCATATCTCAAATGAAAAAGTTAAAATTGTTAAGACAGTTCATCCATGGTATGGTATAGTGAAATGTACGTGGGATTCATCAGTGTTGTCAGTTCCAATATTATGTAAGCCTATGATGGTGATACTCATGCAATACAAAACAATTACTTTTTATTTAATTATACGAAAAGTTATAGTATGATAATATATTAGAATTAATTATTTAATATTTAGAAACAAATCAATAAATATTGGGATTCCATATGAATTTTATTATATAAAATAATTAATATATAAGTGAAGGACGTTATATGAAGAACAGAAGGATTCACCGATTTAAATGATTTTAAGTCATTATTTCACACTGTATATCAATGATCTTTCTATTTATGTTGAATATTCACTGATTATTATTGTTATGAAAATAACTAAATTTTTATTCAACTAAAGAATGAAAGTCAAATACTACTACTTATGGACAAAAAGCCAATGGGCATTCCACATTACTCTTCCTTCTACCTTCTTCAGTCTTCCAATACTCTCAATATATAAACATAAAATACAAAACACATACCTTATTCATTAATTTATTTATGACGAGAAGTATTGTTTTTATATACAGCAAAGCCATAATCAATAATAACTAAGAGCAACGCTTAAGAACACCAAACAAAAGCAAAAGACGACAGCCCAAAGCTCTTGCCGCCAGACATACAGTAACATTCATATGTTTCTGTCCATTTTCCGTGACACCAAATACTTAATTACCATTGTTTTATCTCACATTTAACTTATAATATATATATATATATTAATTCTTAATTAACACAAAAACACCCTATTAATTATTAATAATAGAACCAATAAAGTCAAACTGCTCCATCCATCCATTTGCTGCCTTTTACATTTTATGGATGATGTGGCCATGCATGCAACAGGCGACCACAGAGATTAACAAGAGGAGGTCGCTCTATTACCTCCCATCAGCTCCTCTTCTTGCAATTCTCCACAGCTTTTGGTGCTGAAATTAAATCCACCAATATTTTTTGGGTTAAAATGTATTATTTTAATAATCAAATTAAATAGAATAAGAAAATATATTTTTGGGTAAATTACTCCTCGAGTCACTAAAGTTTGGTTAAATTTTGTTTTTACTAATGAAGTTTTAAAAGTTACTTTACAGTCACTGACATTATAAATTTATAACAAAATGGTTACTTCGATAACGCTAGTGATCGTAATGTAATTTTCAAACTTTAGTGGTGAAAATAAAATTTATCTAAATTTTAGTCACTTTGGTGTAATTTATTTTTTTTAGAAATACTAACCAAGTCCGATTCAGTTCCTTTCATTATGCGTAGCCTTTTGCAAGATTCAACGAACATCCTGATTTAAGAAATAAAAATATAATTAATTTGATTTTATGTAAAAAAATGAAAGTTGTTAAATTGAGAAAAAAATATCTCAATCATAAGCAATTTGAAAGGTCCAAGTGAATTAGGGTAAGTATAAGGCCATAAGGGGTGCATACTCCCGAGGGACATCACCAACAAGCATCCAAATACCATCTTTGTCCTCATAGGTAGGAACATAATCAGAGCCATTAAGGAGATTCATAAGCTTGCTCTCATTCATGAAATCCATCATTCCTTGGGATCCACAGTTTCCTTCATTTTTCATCAACATTGTTATTAACTAATAACTACTATATCTAAAAAATATCTGTTTTTTTTATATTATTTAATATTTATTTTTGAATAAAGTATACAAATAATCACTAAATTATGTTGAAACGATAATTTTTATGTTTAAGAAGTTACATGATAATTAAATTTATCTAATTGTTAAAAAATAATGATAAATTTTGAAAATTTTAAGGATCATGTTGTAATAGTTCAATAAATTTAATGATCATTTGATAATAGTTTATTAAAATTTAGTAATAAGTTTGTGATCATTTAAAAAATTTAATGATTATTTTGAAATTTACAAAACTTCAATGATTAAAAATATTATTTCAACATAGTTAAATTATCATTTACTATTTTATCCTTATTTTTTATATGATAACAATATTAAGACGTTAATAATTTATGTTGTATAAACTTTAAAATAATTGTAAGCTTTTCTAATTCTACTACCTATGCATACAAAAATTTCAAATGTAACAGTGAGTGGTGAATAATTTACTAACCGATAGTGAAAGAGCTGAACATCTTGGCTAAAGCCACAGAAAGTTGGTGGTAACTTGTGTACATCCTCAAGTCCACCTTGCGGAGGTAAGGCGCACCGTCCATGCTTACCTTCACGATCGCCGCCTTCTCACCGCCGCTCTCGTCGCTGCTGCTCTTTTGGGTGGCGGTGGCTAACATGTTCTTTCGGAATGATCGCACTGGTGGCCATCCCACAACTTGCGCTCTATAATTAAACCAAAAATAAATAAATAAAAAAACCAGAAGAGGATGAAACTACAACTTACTTGGCAGGAGCTTAGCAGGATCAGTTGCAGAAAGGAGAAGAGTCTTCTCCTTGGTCAAACCAGTCACCTTCTCTTCATTGGGATCGATGCCAGAGGTGTCCTTCTTGGAGGAAAGGTTAACTGGTTAAGCTTCAAATCAACAGTTTCGGAGAATCCTCTTTTCCTCACAACTTCACCGCCTTCTCCGGGCAACCCTAGCCTCAGCTCAGTCTCTTCAAACCCCATGTTCTCCTTCTCGCAGCCATGATCTCCTCCCTGTCGTCCTTTCATACCCATCTTCAGCCCAATTTCCGTATCTCCTTCTTTCTCTAATTGTTTCTCTTCCCAGTTTTGGCTTTGGATTTCTGGGTTTTTTTAGTTCGGTTCGATTCCTTGAACTTAAAGTGGAAAAAAAACAAGGTTTTGAGATTATTGAGAGATGAAGAGCAACCATAATAACAGCAACGTTGGGGGGAAAGGAGAGTGATGGAAGGAATTAATAATGTTAACGTAAGAGTGCATTGTCGGTTTTTACTGTTGATTTAAGCTTGGGGATGTGAACACGTGGCAAGACCTGTGAGCTGGATTATCCGAACTTGCTGGGATAGGTGACGACAAGGTGTGTTATTCCTGTGTGCTGAAAAAGAAAGAAAGAGGGAATCGACAACCCTTGTTGGCTGCCGCTGCTCTCCCCATTTTTATAATTAGACCCTCTCTTATTCCAATTTAATTTCTTCATTATTCCCTTAATTCAGAATTCGGAAATTAACAAGATTGGGTTTTCAATAATACGTTGAAAATGATTAAATTTAGATATAATTAAGTTAGTAGAATTAAATAGACCAAAAACCATGCACTAACGTACGTAAATTAAGATTTTTATCACTAAAGCTTGAAATGTAAATGTAAATTTATAGTTTTTTGTTTTTATTGCTCATACATGAACTCTAAATCTGATATCAAGTAGAACTTAAAAACAACATAATTTTTTTATCAATACATCAATGATTTGATCGGTGACGAATCTAAAAATATTTTTTAAAGTAGACATTAAATTTGATATCAAGTAGAACTTAAAAACAACATAAACTTTTTTATCAATACATAAATGATTTGATCGGTGACGAATCTAAAAATATTTTTTAAAATAGACATTCATGTATTAATAACACAAAAATTTATATCGATAGACACAAATTAAATTTTAAGACATACACAATTAACAATAATAGGTAATAATTGAATAAAATTCGAATTTCAAAATTAACACGTACTAACTTAAACTTGTCGTACATCCGCTATTGGATTTGATCATAAATTTCATTTTTTTACGTTTAACATATATATATATATATTGAATAATAGAAAATGAGTGCTAAAAGATATGGCAAGAAATAGAAGCAAATGTTGGGGGTGGTGGGTAGTGTTTGCATTAATTAGACTGAGCCCCAAAAGGAAATGTGGGTTCAAAAGGAGAAAGCATGAGCTATAATTTGACTATGGCATTGACACGCACAAACAGGGATTCTCTTAGCTTTAATTTCCATCTCTAATATATTGCAATCTGATATATATATATATATACGATCGTGTTTGGTCAATATATTTCCAATTGCATGTACACATGGAGGCCACGTTCCCTTCTCATAAATCCCGCTCACCGTTGTATAGTACGTAGTAAGATCTTTTTTAGTAAGATTAACGAAACTATAGGATCTTTTCTTGGGGCGGTTCAAGATATTTTACGTTTCATCAACCACCAAATCTTAACAAATATAGTTGCTATTTTCTTGATATATTTTGAGTTGGATCATTTAATGTTAATGAGCTTTTAACCACTTGTTTTAGACATTATTAACACAACTCAAAATTTTTATGTTATAGCAATAGTTACCACTCTAGTGGAATTAAAATTCATTGGAAAACTAATTAATAGCAATTACAATATGGTTTAACCGATATTAATAGTAAAAAATGATCATCATCATCATCGAATGATCATCATTGGCCAATTGATCATCATCATCCAATGGTCAGTTTTTTTTAAAAAAATGGATAAAATAACAATTTCTCTATTATTGTCCAAAGACACTGCTATTTTATTCCCTATTGGCGGTGGTTATGTACTTATGTTCAACGAGATTTAAAATTATTAATAATAAAGAAAAAAATTAAAGGTCAAATGGCAAGGGAAGAACTGAAAATAAAAGAACAAAAACTATATACATTAAAGAATATTGTTGCAGCTATGCCCGAAATTAATTTTATTCTTTTAATATGAGTTAGGATAAGCTACTTATTTGGTACCTATTATATTTAGTTTTGATCGCATTATTATTTTTAATAAAAACATATCTAATGTTATATTTTTTATTTTAATCATTAACCGTTAAGTTTGATGTTGACTTAACGGAAATGATGTAACATGATATAATAATAATTTTAGTCTCCATAACATATACATTCTATTCATTTGACTATAATTTAAAATAGTTCAATAAATCTTCAATATTTACAAATTATATCAATTTAGTATTCATTTTAGTTTAAAATAATTAAATATATTTAACTCTCTAATAAGACTGGAGAAAAGAATTGAAAAATGTGGATAGAAGTAAGCAAGAATTTAAACTAGGACCTTAGGTCCTAGTAACCTAACCTCCGATTGTTGAGTGAAGCTCAATTTGTATTAGTTTTGGACAAAACATACTAATTATGTAACTATATAAACATGTTATTTATGAGCTAAGCACTCCATTGTTGGCACCTTTAACCCCTCAGCATTGACCACCGCTCACCCATCTTTTATGAACAACAACTGCCATTGCTATATTGTATCCATCAGCGAGCCAACCTCACCATTATTCACTGAATGCCTCACTGTTACGCCCTCTCCTAGACTTGTCTTGCACCAAGTGCCACTACACTACTGCCCCCATCGCTCCCTACTTCGATGCCAAAATCGTTTGCCCTTTTTCCTTTCCTCTACCACCTTAAACCGTAAAATTATGCTCCTCAATGATAATATTTGTTGATTGTCGTTGCACCACTATATCGAATCTCGAAGCCTTACTCTTTTTTAATAGCACCTTGCGCCTCCCTTCGCCTTCCTACGTCACCACATGATCCTACAATCACCCTAATACCATATGCACACCCAACTATCTGCACTGCTCGTTGCTTGCGATCAAGGATATCTTACGACGGGGGTGCTTAGCTCATAAATAGCATGTTTAGATAGTTACATAAATAAGATGTTTTGTCAAAAACAAACATGAGTTTAGCTCAGCGGTTAGAGGTTACTCGGACCTAAGGTCTTAGTTTTGATTCTTGTTGACCTCTTTTCAAATTTTCAATTTTTTATCCAAAAAGGTCTTATTGGAAGGTTAAATCTATTAAACTATTTTAAATAAAAATAAAGATTAAATTGATAAGATTTTTAGATATTAAGTATTTATTAATTTTTTTAAATTATACCTTGTCACGTAACTATTTTCGTTAATCAACGATAAATTTAATTATCAGTGATTAAAATAAAAAAAATATTTAGTTATGTATGCTTTTATTAAAAAAAATAATTAAATGGCAAAAAATAAATAAATGAGGAATAAAAAAGATTTATTCTATCAACGGGTTGATTCAAGTGGTAAGCAACTTGATGTCACTTAAGTAAGTCTCGAATTCGAGTCTTTGTGTATGCCGAAAATCCCTGTTGGGAGACTCACCCACCACAGTCGGGTGTGTAACCTAGGTTGTTTTGGATTAGTCAAAACGAAATCTTAGAACTGGAAGGACAAAAAAAATTTACTCTACAAAATATTATTACAGTTAATTAATGAAATCTAAGTTCAATGCTTTTAATAACAGATCCATTCCGAATTATTATTAATAATAATATTGTGATTCTTTTCATATAAAAAAAAGTGTGATTGTTGTCTGCATTATGATAATGATATGATCGCATGTTCACATCTTAAGATGCTACGTTTAAGGAAGGTTTAAAGCATTAAACTCTTTTTTGTCACCTTAAATTTTATAATCAATTAGATAATATAAAATGAATTCAGGGTTTTGATGTAGAAGTATGAAAGAAAATGAAAAAGAATTGAAATACAATGTATCTTCGTCAAATTTAAGTATCAAATTCACTTTAAATGAAATATTATTCACTTTAAATGTTATGGATTCAAGTAATTGTGTTTGTAAAGTGTATGTATTGTTCATAAATTAAAAAAATATGAACAAATACTACATTATAATCATCTCATACTATTAAAAGAAATTGTCAAAATCACTGGTTTAGATTTCCAACAACAACAATTGTAACCGTCCTATTTAATGCAATTGGTGATTGTTGCTTGAGGACTAAGCCCTAATGTTATGTTACCCATAATTAATCAATAGATATAACATTGACAAAGTCTTAGTTTCTTTGAACTTGGAGTCATATACACGTAGTCCAAATTCAATATTGACCAAGAGAACTGACTGCTGAAATATGCGGTAATGCTTGTGGCAATGTGGCCAACCAATCCAATTTATATTCTCTTAGTTCTATTAACCCTGCAAAATCTCGAGATCAAAATAAATAGATATGCTTTTAAAAATATATATAATGCATTTATAAGACTTGAATATAAAAACTTTAGGTTGCGGGAAGTGGCCCTGCAGAGAGGTGTGAAAGAGCAAGATTGGGGCCAATATCAGCAAGGGATGACCCATTTACCGCTATTATTAGGGGTTTGCAGTTGCACTCATCACAATCAAGGGAATTAGTACCCACTTCCACGTGTGATTGATATACCAAGTCAAGGCTTTTGAATTTGAATTTATGACTTTAATTTTCCTATAATTGAATTTAATAGGTGCTAACACCTATGCTTTTTTTTTCTAACTTTACTTCACACTCAAATTCTTTTAATTGTTTGATAAATTAAAATCCCACTTGATAAGTGATAAATTAATAAGTTGGTATAGTCAATGTCGTCAACTTTTGATCAAGCAACTGTTACCAATGATTTATCACGTCACTTATTGTTTTATCTCTCTTATATTTTCTTTCTTTCTTTTCCTTTCCAATCTATTTAGTTTGTTCTGCATATTTAAGTTTTTATGTCATTTTTATTCGAGGTATAAGGATAAAAACATTTTATAATATTTGATTAATTAGTCACTTTGATCTTTATTTTCATACTATTTTAACTCTTAATGTTTTATCTTGAGAAAAAAACCACTTCTTTTTTATGAAAATCATTAATCAACAAATGAGTACAATACTCCAAAACAGAGGCTTTTTACTCTAAAACAAAATGTTGTGGGACCAAATGATCCAATATAAAAGAATAAGGATTAAAGTGATAATTTAGTTAAATCTTGGGGACATTTTTACCCTAAAATGAAATAACAAAGGGCAAAACGCTTCAAAAAAGACAAGGATCAAAATGAAATTATGTGATAGTGGTAAGTGATGAGGGCATCACAAGATTGAGTATAAGAGAATGTCTCAGATAAAAACAAGAAGGGATGGACATTAATCTTGCATCGAAAAGGAAAAGAGACTTGAAATTTAAAAATAGTGATATTACACATCTTATCATACATGTATTTTGGGAAGAGAGTAATGTCTCTATGATAAAAAAAATTGAATTAATCACTAATATTTTATCCATTGATCAACTAATCCAATTATTTTTATTAGTTAAATTTATACTTTTTTTCGTATCCAATTTTTTCTCTATATAATACTTAAATTAGAAAATTACTTATATAAATACATTCATAATAAAATTTAAAATATTGTAACAACATTGTTAATTAATTATTAATTAAATTAAGACTTTACTTATGGTTAGTTTCTTTTTAAGATGACGACAATAATAATAATAATAATAATGAAAGATAAACCTTTATAAAAAAAAATGGAGTTGAATTCTTTGGCCTAGTTTGCCTTGAGTTATTCTTTTCTTCATCTTTATAACCGACGACGGCACTAGCTTTGACACAAGTTGTCGATTGTCGGTTTCATTATTTTCTTTTATTTTATTATAGCGCAATTTTAGTTTTTTTCTTGTTTTATGGCATGTTTTTTATCCTTTGACTGTTGTTTTCGTTTTTTTCTCGTGGTTGGATTTAACATCATCTCGACTGATCAAAATGGCATTTATTTGTTATCATGTTGATATTCTCTGTATTGGACCATCTAATTGGATTTGGATGCGCGATTTACATTCTTGGATAGTTTTTTCATGTAAGTTGACTCTTATTTGCAATTTGTCAATGATCTTTCAATAGTTTGATCTACTTTTATTGTTCGTTTAATGATGTTATTGGATTTATTCGTATCTACCTTTTGTTCGAATTTATTTGGTTAGTTTTTAACATTTTCCTTGTATGGTTCTTTTGTGATCTTAGGTGACTAGTTTTCTTGTATTAATGATTATAGAAAAATGTCCTTATTATGTATTTAGTTTACGGTTATGGTTGTAAACATTTTAGGTATTTTATATTTTTAATAAAACTAGTTGTTTCTATTAAAAAATTGGGGTTGAAGTGTTTATGTATGATGATGCATGTATGTATGTAAAAAATGGTGATGTGATGTCATGGTATGGTTGATGGGCATGGGAAGCAAAGGCCAAATCCATGTATTAAAGGGAAGAATAGGTTGGGGGAGGGCTGATCTTTAAAGGTAATTGGACTTATTCTCCATGTAACAGTCCAGTTTTGTTACTTTAAGGCTTTGCTTTCCGGTCACCACGTGCCGACGTAGGCCCACATGCCTTTACCATCAGCATCAGCATGTAACACAACGCTCGTGTGCTCCCTTTAATTATTTATTATTCTCAGGGATAGGCTAAAGGGATCGATTGATGGATTATCGTCTTCTGAAAATTTTAAATTTTTAAATTTTAATATTTTATTAATAATTTATTTTAGTCCTTTGAAATATTATAAACTCATCCTTGTAGTTGTATTAGGCAACTCTTGTTTATCCTCCAAATTTCAAAAAGGCAAAGGTGGGAAATAAGGGATGAAAGCAACCCAATTTTAATAGCAGATCACTGCGAACTTTTTACATCGAATTACATAAAATTTGAATTATAAATTCGATATATGATAACGGTTCAATTGTTCCAAATTTCAAATGTGACATCTCACCTTGTCCATTGCCCTTTATTTCGGCTCAGATTGGTGAGTTGTATTTTGATGGGGCTGGCTGTAGGTTTGTGGATATGCTTTAAATCAACCGTGTCTCGGCTTACATTGGCACCGCCGAATAAAAGCTGCCCAACAAAGCTGTTTTGGGATGGTTTGAATGTTTGGGCTGGCTGGCAATGCCCCAAGACTGTAAGGACAAGTGAAATTTTGCAAGCCGAGTCTAACAAAGATGTACTATATTGCCATATGTCATGTGTCCCATTGAAATAAAACGAAGGGCCCCACGTGTAAATCAGCCATTAGCAACTGATTGATATCCGCGTGGGACCCTCTTTTCTTCACATGAGATGTTCTCGTGATCCAGCGCTCCTGAATTCACTCTCAAAACTACCCCCATCTCAGCCGTCCATTTTGGCCCACAGTCTTCAATACCATTGGCTGTGCTTGTCTTTCCTTTGTCCCCTTCACTTTGGGCACCCTAACTCAACGCTGCCCCCACATGTGACAGGCAGCCATATCTGTTGCTGTCTAGTACACATCCCACGCGCTTCCCCTCCATGTAACCCGTTGATTGGCCCTGAAGGAAGCGCGTACGACACCGCGTGCGTGGGGTTATCGTTCCCATCTATGAGAACGCATGCAGAAGCTTAGATCATTTGATATCGTGGCCTTGAAACAAATCCAGCCCTATAAAACAAACACCTCTTTCTCATCATCAACCAACGGTTTCGGACTTTCGGCAACAAAGTGAAAAAGAAAAAGAAACCAAAGAAACACTTCACAAATCAAAACCAATATCCTAAGTGTTTCTAGCTTGGAACAAGCTCAAGCAGTTGTATCATACATCTTGGTTCGTAGGTTAACAATGGAAGTGAATTATGATAATGGTCTCAATCTCAAGGCAACGGAGCTCAGATTGGGGTTGCCGGGAAGTGATGAGCCGGAGAGACAAACGACGCCTAGGTCTAACAAGAGAACTTTATCGGAGATCAGTAGTTCCGGCGTGACAGACGATGGAAACGATTATCAGCAAGACAGTGCTCCTCCTGCAAAGTAAGTTTGTGAAAACTTGTGTTTTTATAAACGTTTAGTGGAATCAAAGTTTAGATTATAATGGTTGAGTGTGTATATGAACGCAGGGAACAAGTTGTAGGATGGCCACCGATCAGATCATACAGGAAAAATTGTATACATGCCACAGGGAGGTATGTAAAAGTGAGCGTTGATGGAGCTGCTTATCTCAGAAAGATTGATCTCAAGGTTTACAGAAGCTACCCTGACCTCCTAAAGGCTTTGGAGAACATGTTCAAGCTCACCATTGGAGCCTACTCAGAGAGAGAAGGGTACAATGGATCTGGATATGCTCCGACTTATGAAGACAAAGATGGTGACTGGATGCTTGTCGGAGATGTTCCCTGGGAGTAAGTTATTTCTCCAAACCTATTTCTCTTCTATAATTATATGTATGTATGTATTTTCCCTGTTCCTTTACAATAAACTCACTAATATTTTCTTTTGCTTTACAGAATGTTCATCTCATCCTGCAAGAGGCTGAGAATCATGAAAGGATCAGAAGCCAGGGGGTTGGGCTGTGTATGAGCATCCCACGAAGAACAGGGAGAATTTTTCGGCTTCAATCATTGAAATTCCACGAGGAAGATCGATTTGCTGGAAGAAAGTTTCAGAGGTTAACAAGACAGCCTCCGTTGTTTACAGTATCTGTACTTCTTTATAAATAACATTCAGCACAAAATCAAAAGGCAGGAAAGAATGTAGAAATACTTGAGACTCAATTGTACATAGGAAAACTATTGATTGCTTTACATTTTTTCCCAGAATAAGCATATGTAAGAATAGGATTAAATCAAAGGCAATAACTATTAAGGTCTAATTGTCTTGCTTGTTACAACTCCAAAGAAGGCATGAGGGGTGAAAGACAACAATATCAAATGTTGAATCATCAACAATTTCGTAGTAATTACAGCGGAACTCTACCAACATTCATAGTTAATGATCCTATCAAAAAAAACATTCATAGTTAATGATAGTTCCGAAACTCAAAAAGGAACAAATTCAAACAAAGCTGATACGAGTTACGACTAAAGCTTGTAGGAGATGCACAGTTTTACAGAACAGACTTTAGTAGTATACATCTTCAGGCTATTGAGACTTACAAAAACTTCCACATTGCAGAATAATCAACCTATAGCACCATCATTACACACTAGTATAAACCATTAGAAAGGCAAAACATCGTCACCAGCCATCGAAGAAAACTTCCTTTCATCCTCATCTTGAAGAGAGCTCATTCTGGAATCTAGTATCTCCAGCTGTGATTTCACCCAGTGGGGAGTATTCCTACCTTCAATCCACAGAGCTTCTCCAGTGTCCTTGTGCTTAAAATCTGGATATTTAGGGTTCCTCTGCACATAGAGGACATAACATCAAGTTAAAACACTTGACATAAAGGGCCTCACATAAAGTTTTCAATAGTAAATCATTTATAGGTTCAGTTGTGCCACAACCATAAAAGTTGCATCCCGACCATCTAATTCAAAAGCAAACTCTAATATGATCTTCTTGAATTGGAAATGCACCGACTAAAGCTACTCTTTCAATTGCCTTCAATTTTAAAGGTCGAAGATGCAAATACAACAGCATACAACCACATCAAATAAAAGCAAAGCACTTCCAATTTCAAAATGAGACTGAACAGCTACCTTGTTCTGCCTATTATCCCACCATTCAGTAGGATTGGCAAAAAAAGCTTGCCATAGTTCCATAGGAGAGCCGGTATTATTTGCACCATTGTTGCCAAATTTCCTATCTGCCATAATAAAATCCTAGTTAAAACCAAAAATGTAAAGCAAAAGCACACTGCTATTTATCCAAAATTTGTTTCGGTCGCTCAGAAACTATGACTTACTACTTGACATACCACCAAAGACACGATCATATGAGGCCGGGGAGGATGAGTTCCTTTCGATGAAATTTATTTGTTGGACAACTATCTATAATGTAATACCAAATACAAGAAAAGCTATAAGAATATAGTTCAATTCATCAGTGAACTAAGAAGAAAAAACATAGGGTTCATAGTGATATTAAGGACCTTGTAATAAGTCTGCTGTTTGCCATCGTCACTTTCAACCGTATCTGAAACCAGACGACCACATACATATAGTTGTTGCCCTTTCTCCACATGCTGATACGCAGTATTAGCCAGCTCATCCCAGAATGTCAAATTAATCCTAAGCATTAATTTTGGTAAAAAAAATGCAAACGACAAAATATGGGTAACAAAAGGTACAAATTTGGGCTAAATTTTCATATTCCCTAGAAAGTACAGAAACTTACCATGTAGTATCGGAGGGGGATTTTCTGACGGCAAGTCGAGTCCAGGCAAGGATTTTGCCGGAAGGCAAGTGCTTGATTTCAACGGGGGCGCCGACATTGCCGATTAGGTGCACCGTATTGCAGAGTTCCTTGCTCCACGGGATTTCTGAGGGCTTTGGATACGATACTTGAAGGTTGTAGTTTTGGTCTCTGTAATCGATGGAGCATTTAAGTGTTCGGAAGGAAAAACGCTTTTGTTTGGCAAGGAAAAAAGACGAGTTCCGAGGAGTTGGAGATGGAGATGGGAAGAAAGATAGGGTTTTGGTGTTTGGTTTAGGGTTTGTGGGACGACGGTGAACAACATGTTTCTGCTTGATATTAGGGTTTGCCCAAACGCCATCGTGGCTCTTTCTCCTTTTGGCGCCAAGTTATGATCTTTCCCGACCTATATTATCTGAATTCCCACTTCTCAGAAAGATTAAGTATTGCGTCGAGATATTTCAAGCCGGCCTAATCCAAATCCCAAACTGAACATACTTTCCACAAGGCCCAATAAGCGGGGTGAGTCAATGTGGCATAGCAAACCACGCTCCACGTACAACATCAAAGCGCTCATTTTGTTTCATCTTCTCCGTCTCCTCAAATCTCTCATTTTTTTTCCTACTCATTATTGAGATTAACGAAGGTTCGTCATTTTTTTCCTACTCATTTTTTCTCCTCAAATCTTCTTCGTCTCCATCTTGAAAATGCTTGCTCGAATTACATCCCAGCGTCTTCTCGAGGTTCGTCAAGCTTTCCTTCAGTCTGTCAGGCGTATTGATCTTTCTACACGGCGTTGAACTATGTAAATTCTAATCCTCCTTGCAATAAATATAATTTTTTAATCGTATCTTCAAATTCCATGGATTTTCCCATAAAAGTAATTCTAGTGAAAAAAAGGGTTGATTGAATGAAGGTGACTTAAGTTATAGTAAATTAATCTTACGCGTTCAGCAATGCTGTGTGAGTGAATCCGGGGCCCGTCCTCTTCTAGCGCGAACTCTCGGACGCATGGCCGCCGGATATGGTGCGGCAGCAATAGTTCCTGGCATTGGCTGGTCATGGAAAATCCGGAAACTTATTTAAGTCACACCACTGATTGATAAAAAAAATTAAACAATACGATAGGTCGATAGCCCTAACGTCATTACCATATTCTGTCTACTCTCAGAAGCAACGGAAAAGAAAAGATAAAACAACCAAATATCTGATCACAAATGGAAAATCAATTACGTAAAATTTGTAGAATAAGCTGACAGTGTATATATAACCAACTAAAACACGAAAGTAAGAGTTTTTCAGTAGAAAATTGATAAATTACAGTTGTTTTCTTACATTCTTTACGGAAGAAGCTCTGCTAGCAACGACCCCGTCACGGAGGCGGTTGCCAATACAAAAAATCCGCCTTTGCCTTAGCTACTCCAAGTCCCAACAGAAATCCTGTCTTTGAAAGACACCGCCTCCACCACCACGAAACCGATTGCATCGAGATATCCGGTGCCATCAGCTGAGTTGAGCTGCAGACACATCGTCGTTTCAGCTTCCACGCCAGTTCCAGCCAATCTACCGTCGTGCCCCGCTACACCCATGACACGATGACAGTATGCGCAAAGTTCGGCAGTACGAGGATTTGCTCGAGGAAACCATCAGCAGGAACCCCGTTGGGGTTACTAGACGTGAGAAGGTAGAAGAAAGTGAGTTCAAATGAGTCGAATTGGCGAGTTAGTGCTGCCAAAGGGCTACCATCTGCCTAAATTGATGATATTTATAGTATTATTAAAATGATATTTATAGTTTAAAATTCATAGTGCCTATGGAATTAACTCTTACACGCTATCTGCAAACAGGAAAGAATATTCAAACGCACTAATAATAATTTTCATATATAAACAGTTTTTCTATAAAAGCCCATCTATCTGCGTATAATTCGTACTTAATATATTGAATTGAAATTTCACCCCATAGACTGACGATTGTTCCGTGCAAAACAAGAGGGGGAACTGAAGCTATTAAATAATTGACATTTGAAACAACAAATCAAATGATTATATTAAGATAATACAAATGATTTCGTGTTAAAAATGGTACAGTATAAAGATACTATAGAGTTTGGCTGCCTTTCTGCCTCATCTTCTCATTCTTTCCCGGCCTTAGACTTGACTAATCTCAGATCATCAGCAGGAGGAACAAAAGATCGATCGGTGGCCCTTTCATACGATAACTAAAAATATCGAAAAAGCTCGCCCCAGGTGATTGTTCAAAAGCATGCCAAACCAAATGGCACAGTCAATTCTTCATTAATCCGATCTTGGTCTATTTGAACCACTTTTCTGATGGCTGTTGTACAAAGGTAAAAGCCACGGCGACCCCTGTTTCCTTCTTCCCCAGTAACACCGGCAATACAGTATCCCTACTGCTATCAAACAAGCAATGGGAATGGCCCATCTGCCAAAACAAACACAATCATATAAGATATGAACACAGAACGGTCGAGTGGCATACAAGAACAAGCTTGTATTGAGAAGCGAGTGAAGGCATTTATGTTAAATATTATTACCTGTCCAAATCAAGGATATAGTTTCCCAAGAGGCTACGATAAAGTGCCACACAGGGTTGTAGTAAAGAGACTCCGCTGACCAGAACATCCTCGTATACGTTTCTAAGAAGATAAACAGTACCCAAGCTGCCATCTCGACCAATATGAATTTTATGATAAACCGACCAACCACCACCATGACAAGGGCGAAGGCCACCAACCAATTGAAGAGCCTTTGATTATATTCCTTGATAAACAGAGAGTGCGCCTTCCCCATCATCTGCAATATACATTGGAGAAACACATTATGTAGCAAAGACGAAGAATACAAATTGTTGCAATTTCAACTACAAAGTACCATAATGTATCTTTTCCATTTAATACGCAAGTTTTGAATGGGATTCCCCACTTTTTATCCACAGTTCCTTCGAAAGGATTGGGATTTGGTTGAATTGAGATTATTTTGGTTTCAGCTCCATCATTGAAGACCGAAAGAAAGTTATTGAACAGGGACAAAGAACTTCAGTAATACAAGCATTAAATTGATTCAGACTTATTTGAAATGATGCCGTCCAAGGCTTTTAATCACTAAATTTGAATGAACCTTCTTCATCTTTCCAGCTAAATATTGCGCAACAGAAGGAAACAATATTTCATAAGAAAAAAGAAACTGAGAAAAGAACTGCAAAAGTTCCTGATTACCTTCATCATCCTTTGCTCGTAATTTACTTTTGAAGGTCCAACACACTCCTGGTCAAAGCTATTGTTACATTGCTGGAAACCTGCATTAAATTTTGCCATAGAAGGAAGTCTAAGAACTTGAAGCTGGTCCATTGTGTCCTCGCATCGGGTATATAGTTCCTCACAGAGCCTTGTGGACTGATATTCATTCGCCATAAGGACATTCTTATATGCCTAAAAGAAATATCCCGCATTCAGGACATGAGAATTACAAAAGCTTGTATAGATCAGACTACATACAAAACGTTAGAATATCCAGATGGACGTGTCTATCAGATACATAAGACACCCCTAGCATGATAATAGCTGAAATTTCTAAAGGCAATGTAATGTCTTCTAGTAAAACTTCTCATATGATTGTCCATTTAAGTTGCCACTAATTTTCTTCTACAAAATCCCGTGTCCCATCTGTAAACAAGAATTTGAACTGCTGACAAAAAGAACCAAGAACTTGAATGCCCCACGTAAAAAACTTTAAATGTATGACTTTAGGATTACCATTGATAAAAAGAAAAGGGTAATGCACCTCAAAGAATTAGTCAATACCTCCTTCATTTCTCATCCAGTTGCTCAGCAGATTTCTTCGCATAGTGATGGCCAAAATGTTTGTTCTTCAAAAGCATTCATTGCTTCCTTCGGGATCTTTCATGGGTATCTTGTAAGGATTCCTCTGGCATAGGTAAACCAAATTTTTCCCATCCTTTCATTGTATAGCTTCAAACATCGCTCGAGAATACCTTTATTGAAAACCTCTACACCAAACCATCTCCTTGCTGGCTTCCGTAACAGCGACATATTCTGCTTCAGTTGTGGAGAGAACTATCTTCTGTAGTTGAGAAACCCAACTCACTGTGGTTCCTCCTAGAGTATAGACATACCCTGTAGTGCTCCTTCTGATGTCGACATTTCCGGCTAAGTCAACATCTACATAGCCTGTTAGTGTCGTATCTCCACCTTTGAAACAAAGTGCTTTGTTTGTGGTACCTCGCAGATATCTGAGGATCCATTTGACTGCTTCCCAGTGTACTTTGTCTAGATTATTCATGTACCTGCTAACAGCTCCCACTGCTTGAGCAATATCTGGTCTGGTACAAACCATGGCATACATCAGACTTCCAATTGCTGAGGCATACGGCACCTTCACCATGTGCACGTTCTCCTCTTTGGTGAGTGTTCTTTGGAGAGTCTGAAATGAACACCTAAAGGTGTACTTACTGGTTTAGCATCTTGCATGTTGAACCTGGAGAGTACTTTATTGATGTACTCAGCCTGTGATAACATCAAAGTCTCCGACTTTGTGTCTCTCTTTATCCTCATCCCAAGAATCTGCTTTGCAGCGCCCAGATCCTTCATAACAAACTGCTTCGACAATTTTTGCTTCAAATGTATAATCTCTTGCATGTCTGAGCCTGCAACGAACATGTCATCAACGTACAATAATAAAATAATAAAGCTATTGCCGAACCTCTTGATGTAACAACAATGATCTGTTTGGCATCTGATAAAACCACTGCTACTCATGAAGCTATCGAACTTCTTGTACCACTGTCTAGGAGCTTGTTTAAACCATACAAGCTCTCTTCAACTGCATACCAGGTTTTTCTTGTCTGCCTCTATGAAGCCTTCTGGCTGCCTCATATAGATTTCTTCCTCCAAATCACCATGAAGGAAAGTTGTCTTTACATCTAACTGCTCAAGATGTAAATTCTCTGCAGCTACAATTTTCAACACCAGTCTGATTGTAAACAGTTTCACGACTGGAGAGAAAATTTCATTGCAGTCAATACATTCTTTTTGCTGAAAACCTTTGACTACCAATCTTGCTTTGTAGCGTTTGCTCCCATCGTGCTCTTCTTTGATCTTGTAAATCCACTTGTTATGGAGCGCTCTTGCCTGGTGGAATTCAGCTAATTCCCACGTCTGATTGACATAAGCGAGTCCATCTCATCTTTCATGGAAGACTCCCACTTGACTGAATCATCCACCTGCACGTTCATCATAGCACTCTGGTTCACCATTGTCAGTCAGCAACAAGTAGTGCAAAGAAGGCGAATACCGTTGGGTTGGTTTTAGGAATTCTGGAGGAGCGTCTCAGTTCTGGTGTGCCTGGTT